AATAACAATAAAGTTTGAGTATAAAAAAGGGGAATCCGGGCCCATTGACAGAAACGACATTTTTATTTATTCAGCGGTGCAGCGCCATAGTTCTTGGATTGGCCTTCACACACCAAACAAAGTATGACGCTAATAACAAGGCAAATAAATATACTCACCAAGTTGATCAGGATGAAATTCCAAAGATACAAAATGTTTTTTTTTTAAATTGTGTAAAATGTGTGTTGGACGCAACATGTAATCATACAGACCGCCACCACTCGTTCAAATTATGAAGTGGAGGCTTTGGGGTCAAAGTTCATTACAAAAACTGAATTCAGTTTACGTTGTTATGATTTCGTTCTGTCGTATCACAATTTGCGCTGTCCGGCGAGCAGGCAATGGAAATTTTGTGACATCAGCTGTTCATAACAGTGCGAGGTACAATTCAACCATGTGGAAAAACAGAGTTTTTGTCATTGGGGTCGGAATGACGAAGGTAATAATTTTTTCAACACAAAATCCCCCAACAAGCAAGTTCAAGAGTTGACGTCTCATCAAGGTTTAGACTAGACCATTATAAACTCTCGGAGGGGAGATGCCTCGAGGATGTTCTTACAAACTGAGCACATTTTTTCCTACACTTAGTTTTGAATTAGTTTTTTTTTTCAGAATGATCTTGCTGTAATGTTTTCTTTACTTTATTCTATCAAAATGTGTGTTTTTCATTAAATATTTCTTATACATTTTTTCCTGTAAAAAATTGTTTTCCCAAATTTTCTCAGTGGAGATACCCCTTCCTTGTATTAAACCGTCTGTGCAAAGTTTCTAATGGTCATGTTTGTTTACAACTCAGACTGACAACAAAATTGTGACTTTCATGACTTTGGGCTTTTGATGTCAATAAATTATTTGTACAAATGTAATGTACCTCTGGTAATACAAATGTGTGCATCAATCATAGATCAAAACTATGTACACTGAGGCCCTGATATATATGATATGATAATTTTATTTGGAATGTACCTAAAAAACCATGAGTAATGTCCAATAATAACAACAAAACAAAACAAAACAACATTCAGGTCAACAAAACTTACAGAACTAAAACAAATAAATTTTAAAAAAATGCTGAAAGAATCATTACTTGAATCAGTATTAAGAAATAATTCATTCATGGAATCAAGGTTTATGTTCTTTGATTTGAAAATTATTACAATATAAAATGTAAAGTCATTACTGTAAAGTACTTTATTTTAGCTGGAATGTAGCTGGTGTTTTGTATGGAATTTATTTTCACTTCACTGATTTTTGATAATTTGAATGTAAAATATATAAAAAAAGTTATATTCGCTGCATTTTATTTTCACTGAATCATTACTTCAGTGAAAATAGCAAAAATGAAGTATTTGTTGAAAAAAGCTGTTCAATTATAAATAAGCAAAAAATCACCCCAGCTGGACACCTTATTTGGTCATCACTACTACATATAAACTGTTATATACTATTTTTGCCATTTCTTTTATAGTTTGAAAAACCAGGTCGCCGCAAAGACTTTGATTACCCAGATATGGCCAAAGAGTCTGGAACCAAAGCTCTAAAGGATGCTGGGATATCATTTAAAGACGTTGAACATGCATCAGTTGGTTATTGCTATGGCGACTCAACATGTGGACAAAGAGCAGTGTATCAACTTGGAATGACTGGTATTCCTATTTATAATGTATGTATTAGTACTGTTCGAATTTGTAGAGATCCTAGTATAAGCCTTGCCATATCTTTTACTGAACCAGTATAACACTTTCTCCTGGAAGTGTGTCACTGTATTTTTTATCACTACAGATGCATTACTATAACAGTCATCTCTTGGCTTTGTTACTTTATACCAGATACAACACATGACGCAGTGTATTCAGGCTATATTTTTTAATTGTACGATATCCACCCACTCACTCATGAAAATAACTTCCATACTCCACAAATATCAAGGTGAGGTCATAGGCCATCACACTTTGATATCATTTGTTTACATTTTTGCCAACCATCATGCAAATGTTTGAAAATAAATGTTTCTCTCTGCTGTGGCAATGTTGCCCATAAGTTGTGTTAATAGCAGCAAACATCGCCATTATGTTAATATATTCAGATACTGTAAATAAAAGACAAAATTTTATATCATTTCACCAGACTATTAAAGTTTTAGTATTCAAAATTTAACATGGATTCAAACTCTAGTGTCATAGTTGCTATTATTTACTGACCTGAATGTATCTGAGTTGTAACCCAATACAGTAGGTAATCTTTGAGACGTTAATTAGAAGTGAAAGCATGGATGCCCATGTTCAGGCATGTAGTATGTCTCTCATTTTCTCTTCAAAAAATTGTACATACGTCAGCTGCTAACAAAACCCAGCTGAAATGTTATGAATGTGTTGTACCGTATATTATACTTCACTGATAAATACCCAGAATGATCTGTGTGAAAGAAAGATATGTATTGAATAATGTATTATATTATAATCACATATTTATTGTGTGTTTTCAGGTCAATAACAATTGCTCTACGGGTTCCACAGCGCTGCTGATAGCAAAACAGCTGATTGAAGGAGGCCTCGCAAACTGTGTCATGGCTCTGGGATTTGAAAAAATGCAGTCAGGATCTCTCGTTTTAGAGGTTAGAAAGTTCACTCACAGCAAACATTCACATAACCCATTTGAATTCCATAATTTTGAAGCTCCATTTTTTGTATTTTATAATAAATAAAAATTGGTCATCAGTGTTTACAATAATGGAAAGTACTGTAAAATACTTTATTTTCGCTTAGAATTAATTTTAACTATTTTCGCTGAAGGAATGGTTCAGTGAAAATAAAATCCAGCGAATATACTTGTATTCCTATATTTTACATTCAACTCGCCAAAGATCAGTAAAAATAAATTGCATACAAAACGCCCAAAAAACCTTTTCAGCGAAAATTAAATCCAGCGAAAACAAAGTATTTTACAGTATGTTTGATTTTGTTATTAAATACCACAATCTTCAGTGCATACTCGCTTTAGCGCTCCAAAATTTCAGGATTTGTTGTCATTTTTCATGATGATCTGAACATTCTGTGGGAGGTATTCTGTATCTATATATGCTTACTGTCATTAGTAAATTGAGTTATTATTTTACTAAATAACCCAATATGAATTATTGCATTATGATGTATATAGGGAAACATTGCTGTTTATTGTTTTCGGTTACTAATACTTAATTTTCTATTGGATTTGTAGATGACAAAAGTAGAGTTTGTCTTTTCAAGGGTCAAAATATTCAAGATAAATTCAATTTTTGTATTTATTGGCATGTTAATTTGCATTTGCCAATTCATTATAGCAGTGGTTACCTGACACATAAATAATGCAGGTATTGATAGCAGTAAAAATGTAACTTTAAGTTTGACTTCTTTGACTAGGTTCAAATATTGGTGCGAACCAAATGATATAAATTATGTTTCCACTTTTTGGTCAAACACACTAATACATGTTTTGATTACAAGATTCAAACAATTTCATAAACAATTAGTAAGTAAAACATGAAGGAATACTTCTGTGAAAGGTAATAACTGTGTATAGTGGTAACACTGAAGTTAATTAAACTCACCCTTTACTGGTGGAAATTTTTGAGAAGTTCACCACACTGTGTAGACTGTTATATTGTTACAGTAGCTCTGTCATATTTCTTTGCCCATGTTGGGGTCATGCTATGATTGTTGCAGGAGTTCGTTAAAGCCTCCATACTCATTTATGACCTTGCCTATTTGTGAAGTAAAATTGTGTCAACTGAGCAACTTTTCTCTCAGTCATGTTAACATTGTACTTCTAGAGTTATTTCTAGAGCTATTTGGGGTCTTGAATGTGCGAATTTGCCTTGTTAAGCATTAACAATTTTCTTGCATTTACAATGACTCCAATCATTTTTACTCCATAGTCTGATAAAAGGCTCAGAACAAAAGATTTGCAACATTTCAAAAAAGCAAGGCTATAATAGTTTCTCTATGTTATAGCTTTTCATTCCATCAAAGTGATTACTATCAATGGGAGGTGTTCTTCATCATTGAGTATGCAACCTATACTACAAATTCTTGTACTAAATTCTCAGACAGGATTTGACCAATTTAATTAGTTTAAATTTGGCGAGGACATAATGTTTTGCATATACTTGTCATCTTGTTTTTTGTTGTAATGAAATTTTAATGACTTTATTTCCTTTTTCTAGAACATGAACCGGACAATACCTATGGATAAACATCTACAACATATGGCAGATACCAGAGGTTTGACAGAGTCGCCAGTGGCAGCACAGATGTTTGGAAATGCTGGCAGAGAGCATATGGAAAGATATGGTTGGTTCATTAGTTCCGTTTTAATTTGGGTTCTGCTTGTGTATCCGCCTGGAGCCATTTCTCTGACATGCTTTGTCAGATCTCATTCAAACATCAAATAAAAACAATGTATGGTGACTTGCATATGCACACAAATTATCCTTGTCATTCAGTTAATTTTATCTGACTGGCAGCCTTCCAGAACCGCTTTTCAGAGATTTCATTCAAATATTGTACGAGGATCATGCATATTGATTCACATCATATTTGTTTTAGAGATTCAGACAAAAAAGTGATGGCCGTTTTGTTTTTATTTATTTCTATGCCAATTCCTCACTAATATATCACCTTATTTATTTGAAGGTTGGTTGTTATTTGGTTGTCTTAAATTTGTGATTTGAAAAAAATGTTCAAATTGACAGCCATTTTGTCTAAAACCCTAAAGTCGCAGCCCGTCTGATTCTCAGAGATGATTTTGTTTAAACTCTGTACGAGGGTCATTCATATCAGGTTATAGGTGCACATTATTTTCGTCAATTGGCGCTATTTTGTTTTCATTCCTCACTAATATTCTGCCCGATTCAGTTTAAAGTTTTTACACAAGTACGATACTCATAAATAATAATTTAATTCCCTTTGGATGGAAGCGTGGCCTTATGAATTGAAATCCATAAGTATGTGTGTCCATCCGCCTGTATACAGTATATGCACAAGTCATGCATTTGTTTCACAATCAGAATGGCAGCTGTTTTAAGGCCAAAATGTATCAAAATCACACATATTCGCCATACAGAAACTTGATCTCAGTCTTGCATAGTCAGATTTTGTTCAAACTTTGTACATATACTTTGAAGAAAATGGGACCTTCATTCATCATATCATATTCATTCATCAGTCATCTTGCTTAAACGAATGGAGTTCCACAAAATCATATCTCATACATGCCTGGACCAATCAAATTTAATATACACATGTATATATTTTAGAAATGGATTTCATTTACTGATTGAATTCAAACTTGGTCTATACAATGAACATCATAGATTTATAATCCCCTCACTGGCTGCCATATTGTTTTTAGCTCCTCTGTTGACTTTGTTGACTTTTTCTTGAAAACTACAATTCTTTTTACTTTGATACTTGGTGTATATGTACCTTGGGCAAACCTCTCTCAGATTTGTTCATTTTGTAATGATATCTTTAATTCTCTAATTTTGATGAATATTTTTGGTAAAAAGTGATATTTTTGAGTTCTTGATAAAAACCTGCAAGTGTGATTGCTTGATGTTATACATGTAGGTACTACAGATAAACCTCTCTCAGATTTGTTCATTTAATGATGATATCTTCAGTTTTGTATTTGAAATGTGCATTGCTAACAGCGCAGCTATCTCAGCCGAGGGGCTGCTTATTTAGAATGCTGTACAATAGTCGTAATTCTGACATGTTTCTTCTGTGCACGCTATATCAATTCACACTAATTGGCACTAATATAATACTACCAGGTATTACTAGACAATATTTTGTTGGCCATTTTATTTTAATGAAAGTTGGTACAAAGACAAGACATAATGGTATGCCTGGACACCCCAATTTCTTTTGATGGCATTTGATTGACTGGTTGCCATTTTGCTTCCACACTTTTGTCCTTACATGTTTCTCAGACATGTCTGGGATGATTGACACAGTCACCAAAAAACTGAAACTGAATGGAAGCTATGTCATTGACAATGACTTGTATTTACTGGATAAGAGTTTCCAGCAAACTTTGTTTTTACCAATAGTATATCACTTTTGGAAACTGTTATTGCAGTCAAATTGGGTAAAGCACACAGCGTTTTTAGAAAATGGGAAATAGCTGTTCATTTGCTTATGGAAATTTGCAATAAATTTATAAATATTCTGTATTGCCAAAATTGAAGAAAAACCAATCATTGTAAATGACAAGTCCCTTTCCAGTTTTTCGTTGCTGTCATTGTTATCGCCAAATAATTATTTACACACATTTGACAGACATGATACAAAATGAAGCCAGTTTTATTTGTGTGATTATTTTGTTTATTCTGCCTATGACATTCATAATCATTTCTAGCACGAAAATGGCGATCAGCCATCTTGAATCAGACTCTAAAACAGATGCATATGTAAAGTTTCAACATAATCAGCAATATTGCTTCTTGTTAGCAATATGGCTTCAAAAACAGCATTTGTTGAAAACAAAATGGCCATCAGTCAGCCATTTTGAATCAAAGCTGGGGGGGGGGGGTGATGTGCATCAAGGACCCATTATATTTAATGGATATAACATGTTTTGATGAAATATGTCCATGCACAACCAGGATCTAGCTCAGAAAAAGCAGAAATGCTTGATTTTGGTGAAATTTTAGGACTAAAATGGCCACCATTCAGCCATCTTGAGTTGGATCGTGAAACAAATGTATGTGCTGAGCATGTCAGAGATATGACCGTGCAACTGCATTCGTTAAAACAAAATGGCCGCCAGTTGGCCATTTTTAAACCGATCTGAAAAAATAAATGGCATGCATCAAGGACTCATTATGTTCAATGGACATACGTTCATGCATGACTGAGAGCCAGTTCTTGAATGGCAGAAATGCTTGATTTTGATGAATTTTCAGCACTAAAATGGCTGCTATTCGGCCATCTTTAATTGGATCATGAAACAAATGGTCCCTTACAGTAAATAATTTTTTTTATTGTACATCTAGCACTGAAAATAGAATTTGCCATTTCTATACAATAAATGTATCACAGTTAAATAATTACCTTTGTTTACACTGGACACATAAGCTCTATAGTGTGTAACAGAAATGAAAATGAAATGAAAACATTTACACAATGCAAAACCTTTTTCATTGACTTTTCAGGCTATTAAATTATTACTTCAAGCAGGAAAAAGATGTATGATAGAGAATACTATGAACTTTGGCAATATGGAGTCACATACACTTCTGCTACACGTTGGTCTATACGATCATCATACTGTCTTTGCGGTATTCTTGTGATAACCTATATTTCTATATATTTAGTGAAATACACATTCTCTGCAAGACTCAATAGTTATGCATTTATTTCATGCCACATTGTCATTCCTATGTGGAAATAACAGGTATAATATCAATAATTTATGAAATTTCAGATTATTGTATATTTTTTTTTACATTTTTACACTCAAGGCTTTAATACAGGCTGTATTGTGTATTTCAGGAACAAAGCCAGAGCATTTTGCTAAGATTGCAGTGAAAAATCACAAACATTCTGTCAATAATCCGTAAGTATAGGTTGTCACACTGTGACCATTTTATGCACATATTTAAAAAAAAATAACCAGGTCTACACATATTATCTCAGTGCTAAGAGAGTTGTACACATGCTTGTGTACATAACTAAATTTCTTGAAATCTGAGTGGTTCTTGAGATATCTGTGGAACAATTAAAAATTGTCCAAAGCGAGAAATTGTTTTTAATTATTTTCAAGATTTTTCAGTACCACAACATGCTTTTCAAATACATTCATAAAACAGACACTGAAACAAAAACTAAAATAAACATTTTTCCATTCTACTGAACATTATACACTTAATAAGTAATTCAAACTGATGTTGATCAAAAGTTGTTGTTTTTTTTGTCCTAATTTATCACATGAAATTTGAAAGTTTTTTTGAGATGCAGATAATGACATGAATTGTTAAATTTTATAATAATTTTTACTGGCTTAAATTTTTTAATAGCATGAGGATCGAGTTCTAGCAATGTGTCTGTGTAACCCACTGTAACTACTTATCTATGGTTTGTGTAGATATTCTCAATTTCAAGATGAATATACTTTAGAAGACGTACTGAAGTCACGTACGATACATGAACCATTGACAAAGTTACAATGTTGGTAAGTGATTCCACATGCTATAGAATTATAATAAATTCTATCTGCTCTGAAGTAAAATTTAGATATTAACCAAAGAGGTCCTGAATTTCAGCTATTACAATTACATTCCCCTCACTGTACTTAGGTTTGTACTCTCCTAGGAAATAACAAATGTTTTGTAATTTGGAAGAAGTACCTTTTTTGTAGATTTCAGAAAAAGAGAAGTTTATGTAATGCGCTATGAAGTGATCAATTGTCTTGTGTAAACGAACAATTTTCAAATCCGATAATGAAATCCAATTGTTTTCTTTTTCAGCATTGTCACTACTTACATCAGTATATTGGTCTTAATGGTTCCAACTGTCCTGTTATAATTAATTAATCATCCTTATTCAACTCAGATATTCATCTTAGTTCCACCTCTGATGGTAGTGCTCCAGCCATTTTTAGCTCCGCTGTCGACGAAGTCGAGCGGAGCTTATAGTATTACTGATTGTCGGTCGGCGTCCGTCGTCGTCGTCAACTTTACATTTTCGACTTCTTCTTAAAAACCACAAACTGTATAGCTGTGAAACTTTCTAGAAAGGTATCTTGGGTGGTTCTCTCTCAGATTTGTTCATTTCGTGTGGATATGTTCAATTGTCTTATTTATAGCGAATCTATACTTAAATTATTCATACAAATTACACAACAAGCATGAAATGCGATGTGCGGTGGTTGCAGCACCCAGGAAAGCAAAAATTTAGTTATGGTTTCACAAAGTGGAATCCAGGGGCGAAGCTGTATTCGCGTCTTCTAACGAAATTCGAAGATATATAGCAATGTGCAATGGCTTAGATGGACAGGCGACGCCCTCTGTAAAATTTGACATGCACCATTGTTTCCATCTGAGCCAACTGTCGGTGTACTTGCTTAAAGTATTACCAGCAATAGACGCCAACATCACATCGGGCAGAGTGTCGCAGAAGTCATCCAGTACTGGGGTGCTAAGTTCGGCCTTCCAATGCTGTATCTGAAAGACATCTAAAACTACACAATTTATACAACAAAATTGATGCGACGACACAATAATATACCGACATTTAACCGCGAATTGAAAATAACGAATTGTCTACTCACATCGCACGCTGCTGTCGCACAAGAACGGCATCAGCAAAGGGCCGCACTTCCATAATGCAAGCAACACACCGAAAGGCGAATATATATACAGACATGCCGAAAGGCGAATATATACAGACATGCCGAAAGGCGAATATGTACAGACATGCCGAACGGTTAATATATATATACAGACATGCCAAAAGGCGAATATATACAGACATGCCGAAAGGCGAATGTATACAGACACGCCGAAAGACGAATATGTACAGACATGCCGAAAGGCGAATGTATACAGACACGCCAAAAGGCGAATATGTACAGACATGCCAAAAGGCGAATATATACAGACATGCCGAAAGGTGAATATATACAGACATGCCGAAAGGCTAATATATATGCAGATATGCCGAAAGGCGAATATATACAGACATGCCAAAAGGCGAATATATACAGACATGCCGAAAAGCGAATATGTACAGACATGCCGAAAGGCGAATATATACAGACATACCAAAAGGCGAATATATACAGACATGCTGAAAGGCGAATATGTACAGACATGCCAAAAGGCGAATATATACAGACATGCCGAAAGGCGAATATATACAGACATGCCGAAAGGCGAATATATACAGACATGCCGAAAGGTGAATATATACAGACATGCCAAAAGGCGAATATATACAGACATGCCGAAAGGTGAATATATACAGACATGCCAAAAGGCGAATATATACAGACATGCCGAAAT